CATCAGAGCTGGCTTCTCTCTCAGCTGTGTGCTATGTCCAAGACACTGCAAGTTATCCTAACACAAAAGTGCACAGGGCACCTGTCCCCAGATTTGGCCCAGATCAAAGCCTGCTTGTCACACTGACTTCCCCACCCACAGTCCTGCTCAGCATCCTTTCCAGTCGTCCACTCCTCCCCAGCTGGTGAGCTAATACACAGCAGGTGCAGTACAATACCTGCAGCTGCTCCCCGGGAACCTCTCCCGGCTTGGCCTCTGTCTCTCCATCCCAAATTCTTACTCTGGCCTCATGTCTTTTCTGGTTTCCATTTCTACTTTGCTCTTGGACTCTTGATCACTGTTCCATGCTCTAATCCAAAGGCCAGTCCTTTGTAGCCCAGGTCCCAGTGTTTGCTTGGGACATTTTATTTGTTGGTTCCAGGGCCATGGCTGAGATCAGCCGGGAGCTGGGTTTAAAATTCTTGACTCGTGGCCAGTTGAGAGCTGTTGACATTCTATGTTCACAGCACAGGAAAGAAACCCTACACAAAGCGACAGGTATGACCCCAAATCTGTTATGCATAAAGGAGCTGGAAAGAAATACATCAAAACATTGACACTGATGTTTCGTATGTGATAGGATGATGAATGACTATATCTTTCTGTATTTTCCAAAATCTCCACAGTGGGCATGCATTACTTCTATAATCAGAAAAAAAAATAGAGAAAGAAAGTATAGTCCTCAGCTAGTCAAATACCTATTAAATACATACAGTTTTTCATCCATAAAACTGTAGGTACCTGTCCCATGAGGTTGGCTGTTGGTAAAACTTGCCGAGAAAGCAAATAAAACAGAAGAAATCACGTTCATTCATGTGAGGCATTTGTTGCATGAGGCCAAGACCTACAAATACCAGGACCTTTACTGTTGTTATCAGAGATAACTTGCATTGCGGCAGGCAGAGTCTCTCCTCCCATTAAATCTGGCACCAACAGAATTTGCTCGCCCGGCAATATTTTGTCAACGTGCCACTCTGTCAGGGATTGGATCCAAAGCTGCTGTTCTTCAGTTCTTAATCATCTAATGAAACCTAAACAGCTTTCAGTAGCCGTGCCCATCACGAGTCCTGTCAGACTGACAGCGAGCGCGTGAATCCCCAGAGCGATGTGACTGCCTGAGAAGTATGGAGTAGGGAACTCACTCACGTCAGCAGTGGGTCTCAAAGTGCGGTTCCCGAACCAGCAGCACCGGCATCACTTGTTAGAAATACAAACGCCCTGACCCCACCCCGGAAACACTGCATCGGAACCTCCAGGGTGGGGCCAGCGCCTGGGCTTCCGTATGCCCTCCCGGGGACTGACGCCTGCTCAGGTCTGAGTGCCACTGAGATTCCAGCGATCCGGGCGTGTGGGGCAGGCATCTCTTTGGGCTTACTGATCTGGCTCAGACCTTGGTAATTTGCATTTGTCTTTCATTTACCCATATTCATTAGGGTAACCGGTCTTTAGTCTGTATA